CCACTGCCACCGCCTGCAGACAGAAGAACCCGAAGAACGTCTGGAGCCAAAGCAATGGAGCAAACTGGCTAGTCGAGGTGTGGCATGAACCGAATCCTGGAAAAGTGGAATACTCGTGTCACTATAGTACATTAAAAACTTGCTCCCCCATAGATAACTTCCCTGTGTCAGGAGAGCTGTTATCACAAATGAAAAACTGCTGGTACAGCTGTTATAAGTGACCATGGTCCTGTTTGTTAGCATTTACAGGTGGGTGGCTGTGGCTCAGGTGGAAGAGCAGATCATCTACTGATTAGAAGGTTGGTGGTTCGATCCTTGCATGTCAAATATCCTTGGGCAAGATACTGACCCCAAGCTGCTCATTGGACTGTGAATGTAGATGAGTTTGCACTTGTGAATGGATGAATGAGGCCTGTTGTATAGAGCGCTTTGAGCACTCCAGGAGAGCAGAAAAGCGCTATATAAGAATCAGACCATTTATATAGACGGAACAAAACGCTGAATTTATTACATACGTTAAAACCAGAACAGCATCTATTTTGGATCAAATACTGGCCAAACTAGTACCAACATAAGCTGAGAGGAGAATGAATCAGCTTTACAAGCTCCAACATTTAAAGAGGAAAAATGAAATGGAAATTTCAGGAAAACAGATTAAACTCTTGGAACTTGAGCTTATTAAAAATAAAGACTACAACTACTCAAATCAACAGACAAAGCAGAGAAAAGGCTCACTCTGGCTCAAAACATCTTATTACAATCAAGGAGAAAAGGCTGGGAATGGGCACGGAGAACTCAGACATCACAGTCTGAGACAGCGATTAGGATAATTCTTCAGGAAACCTGATAATAGACCCCCTAGAAACTTACAATCGTTTTAGGGAACACCACACAGATCAGAATGTCTCAATTTGCCACAAGACCAAAACACATTTCTCAGTCATTTGCAATTTCACACAATGACTGATGATGCAAAAAGGGGGTTAGACAACCTAGGAAGTTTTAATTCAGTTCAATTAAATTTTATTTATACAGCACCAAATCACAGCAGCAGTCTTCTCAAGGTGCTTTATACTGAAAACCCCCAACAATCATATGAGCCCATGAAAGCACTTTGGCGACAGTGGGAAGGAAAAACTCCCTTTTAACAGGAAGAAACCTCCAGCAGAACCAGGCTCAGGGAGGGG